TGACTGGGGCCGAGTTGACTTGGGGCCGAGTTGACCTGCTTCCGCCTAGAATTACCGGTACTAAAAATTAAGGCAGGGAGTTTGGATTATAGGCCTATATAGTATACTGTACTGGTGCTTCTCAATTGATTACAAGGCTTGGCTAAGTATAATGGCGAAATTATATATGGTTATTTATAATTATTATTATTGTTAATATTATTGTTATTAATATTATTATTATTGTTATTATTATTTAATATTAATTACATTACAAGGCTAAGGCCAAGTTCATTAATGCCTGAGTGATATATTTAATTTATTATATTTATCAAAAATACAAACAAGAATGCTAAACAAAACTGTCTGTAACAGCAGGGATTCAGAGACAAAATGACGAGTTCGTCACCGGATAGATGTAAACATATCTCACCATAGTATCTGATTTTCATCCTGCGTCTTAACAATTAAAGAAGCTGAAAAAAAAATATAAATATATTTTAATTAGGCAATACATAGCAATATAGTTCATTGTAGGCAATGAAAAGTGATAATTATATTGTGCGCTCATTTTTCCCTTGGTTTCGATGTGGTACAAATGGCATAACAGTTTTATTATTATTATTATTATTATTATTATTATTATTATTATTATTATTATTATTATTATTATTATTATTATTATTATAATTATTATTATTATTATTATTATTTCATAATAGTTTGGGAATACAAGTACAGTAACATACCAAAACATAAAAATAAAAAAAATAAACGCCATACATTGAAAAATAGGGGCAACATTTAAAAATGGACAACCAAGTTAATGCTTAGGAAGACTGGCGCTTGCTACTAGTAAAGGTCTCCCAACAATATAACCAAAACGGATATCAATGAAAATACAACATTTGATATACTGTATTTAAGAACATGCGATGTGATTTATAAAGCATTATTGTGATGATACATAATTATAAAAAAAAAAAAATTGTACAGAAGTAGAATAATTTTTATTATTTAAAATACCTTAATGTGTGTCTTAGTATTATTTTTCTGCTACTCTCCATGAACACCATCCAGCTGCTCTTTCCTTTATGTTCAAATTGATTATCTCCATGGTGTATTTTGTCAGCTCGCTTGTATCTTGTTTAAAATTAAAATTAAAAAGTTATTATTGCCATTTTTATTTTCATTAAAAAATTATGACAGAACATCATATTTGTATTTGAATGTCGATCAATTTTAAGGGCCTTTAAGTGTGCATCCAGAGTGTGAGATATTTCACCTTGTGCTCTCAGACTAAATAGCTCTTCTTGACTGTAGCTAAAATAAACATCGACCGGCTAAAATGTCTGACACAGACTTGAAGCCCATACCGAGAGGCCAAGGCGATCTAAGTAGGCTATGTAAGGTCATGCCTAAAATAGTTTTGTATGTGTGAGAGAGAACAATGGGGCTAGCCAGACAAGCAAGGCACATAGCCAGCGGAGTGTGGAAAACAACAGTGCAGTGTGTGATGAACACTAAACACTTAGTAGTACAAAGAGGCCTAGCCAGGCAGGTACAAATACCTTACAAAAAACACAAATACAGAAGTTCAAAATCGAAAGAATCAAACAAAAGCAGCAAAAGAAGAATACTCAGTAGTTAGGAACAAACCATAGTTTAGTTAAAAAAGGTGAAATATAGGAATAAAAAAGCAAATAACACAGAGCGCAGAAATCGTATGCTCCCCTTGAACAGCGTATATAAATCATGATGATGAACTGATGATGAACTGATGATACAGTGTATGCCAGTTTTATTGTAGTTAGATTATACTGTATTTGAAAAACGAGATTACATGTACCCGTGGTTTAATAATGCACTCAAGCAAGCATGTGTGCCATGCAAGTTCTTGGTCGTCACGCTTGAGTGATTTCATGCAGCCCAATCGGCATTGGGGGCGCTAGATTATTTGTTGGCTTGTAGTTTTAGTAGTTCACATTTATTATAATAGTTCTTATTAATTGTTTAATGATTCGTGGATTTATGGGCCTATGTTGATTCATATTATAATTATGGTTTATATTTTTATAATAATAACATGGTTGTATTTCTTGTTTGTAGGACGGATTGGATTTACTGCAGAGTTTTGTACTAGTGGGCTGTTGACCACCCCCTTTTGTAATTTGGTAAACAATTAAAATTTGGAATAATTCTTAGGTGATTGACCAAAAGGGAATTTGTCAGAGTTTATGAACTTGTAAGGGATTTATAGTTGAAATAAATTTGCTTATAAAATTTGACAGTTGTGTGATTTTTCAATTGGTCACACGAGTGACACACAGACTTACCAGCCAAGTCGTTCGCTCTCAGTACTTCGTCAATCACAAAGCAATAAGACGAGCTATTAATCACAATGGACTTTTCGATTTGAGTGGACGTGGACGGCTTTCGCGTCCGCGTGAGTGGAAAATCCGAGCAGCCGACTGGTACTTGTCCACTGGTTATCTGAATGTTTCGATTTAAGTGAACGTCCATGTTGACACGTCAGTGAACTTATGACCTTGTGATCTGGGGTTTCCCCGTGTTCGCGCGCGCTATTCGAATACACTGGCCGTGGTATCTTACTCAACACTCAGGTACTGTAGTCTACGCATCTACGCAACATGGCAAATTTTCTTTGGCTTCGCTAATCCATTATTGGTATATCCATAGGGTATTCAGGGCAGGGAGTTGTAAAAACATAAATCTCCCTGTTGAGGGTGCACCTCTCCTTCTTTGTTCAATATAGGATTTTTTTTAACAGATCACTGAAAAATTATTTCCTTTTTCCTGGATACGCGCGGCCTGACTGAAGGCTGGCGGCCTCGCCTAGGCTCAGACTCCCTTAGCCTAGCTAATAGGCTGTTTAATTAAATACCTAATTATCCGCTGTATTTGATCCACAATAATGGATAATTCTATAGTTTGCAAATAGGACATAACTTAACCGAAATGCAATTAATTACATCCAAGGGCGTCGATCCGTGGCTGAAAGTGGGGGGGGGGGGGGGGGAAAAAAAAAAAAAAACCAGGGGCCGGAG